CACCGAGGCCGAAACCTTTGAGCTTCGCGGTCTCTCTTTCACTCGATCCTTGTCTCCCTTTTTCTCTCTCTCTCTCTCTCTTTATCCTATCGTTCCATCGCCCGTCTCGCGGCCCGTCCCTCCGTTTCGCTCGTTTCCGCGGACCGAGTTAATCGTCGATGATTCTCGTTACGCGAAAATGAGGAACTCGGCGATGTAACCACTCGCGAGGACGATCTTCCCACAATTTATCGGGAACCTCGCGAACTATTGGCTCGCCCGGTTCTTCTTTCTCCTCTCCCTCGACCGTAGCGATGGCCTGTCGAGACTTCGAATTCATTTCCGATACGTACGCATGGGGAAACAACCGGATAGGTTTCGGTGCTCGTCGATTCTTGGATGGTCGAGCAGGTTCGCGACCAGCGTTCCTCCCGGTAGTTGACTTTGTAGGTACAATACCTAGTTACGGGCAACAAATCGTTTGTGTAAAACACAAATAAAACCTGAGAGAGCAGTTGCGTCAGTTTTTTATGCATTGCACTATGCGTTACGATTTCAGATGCGAGCGCAGATGAAAGTAATTTCATTTTCTTTGCGCGAGATACAACAACGTTCGTAAATGTGCGACGCTGGTCGTGAACGTGTAAAGTTGGATCTCAAGAATTTCGGAAACGTCGAATTACTTCGAAATCAGGGCTGAAATACTCTTCGTTAGTCTGTCCACCGCAGCCTCAGATTTCCGATTCGTTTCATGGACACTGACTAATAATTCGCGTTCCCGGAGAGCCGCGCGCATTTTTCGAACGATCAAGCGCACGACTAGCGGCCGATAGCCGCGGCCGCGTGACAGAATCGGAATTGCAATAAAGTTCCCCGCCGATCGACAGCTGATGGAAAAATTTCTGTGGCAAGTTAACCCCTTGGCTGACAATAACGCGTGAGACTCGTGATGAGAATTTTAAATAAAGTATAGCAAAAATAAATATTACTCGAGTCTTATGAATTAAAATGAAATATGTTTCTGTTATCAATTGTTATATTTTAGAGCAAAGGTGGACGTAGAATATGCATACAATTTTTCTGTTTTCAATACATTATTCACCCTAATCGTACCACGTGTTTTTGTAACGAATCATACCACAATGTGACTCTCAGTCACTTATGAGAATAAAAGGAATGATTAAAATGTTATTGTTTTTGTTTGTAGGGACCAAATTTTCAAAGCCCAAACAAAACTTTTGGGAATGCAATATGAAATAATCGAAATTGAAGTGAAAAGTTCAAATGTGACTCAAAGTTACATCGTGGTCCGATTAGGCTTAATGACAAAATTATTCTATTGATCACAGATGAGAAATAAACCATAAGGCAAGGTGTTAACGCAGATTTCCCGTTCCAAGAGTTTTCGCCGTCGCTGGAAACAGCACCCGCTAATAGGCTAATGGCCGAGCAGAAATCAGTTACCACTGCGGCGAGTTTTTCGAACTATTCACGGAGCGGAAACTGGCCGCGAGAACTTGGGGAGACCGGCGTTGCGCGTCTCGACTCGGACGCCGAAGACTTCCGTTGCTCTTGTTTCCGGTTCCGCGAGTACGCTCAACGGGGGGTCGAGAGAAAAATCGCAGTAGGAATTCAATACCGTCGAATAAATCTCCATGCAAGCGCGACACGCGAGACGTTCGTTTAGCGGCGTTAAAGGGCACGCGAGGAGAATATTTCGCGCTTCCCGGGGAATTTTCCCGCGATATCCGCAGAGCGATTCACCGAAAATCCACCCATCGTTTTTCTCCGGGCGAAACGCTATGGAGACAAGCTTTCGATTTCCTGCTCGAACGTCTCGGCCCGCCGGATAAGGAACAACAAATGGACATCGTTTAACCGACATAGATAAAGGCTGGTATGCGTGCTCGCGTTCGCCAGAGAAAGATTCGTGTACGTAACCGAAGAAACAGAGAGAGAAGGGGAAAGAAGGAAAAAGAAAGAGGAACAGAGAGGGCTATCTTTAGAATGGTTGTTCGGGGATTGTAATTCAATTTAATGCGGGGCAGACTGTCGAGCGCTTCGCGAACATTTTACCATGTCTGGAAATTACGGTGGCGAGCAGCGCGGCACACAGGGAGCCGAAAACGTTATTCCGGCGTTGCGGTCGGCGCTGCAACGTGGGCAGACGGAAGACGGTCCGCAGAAACGGAGCCGGGTGCGTCGTAGAGTAGAACGTTCAATGCTCGCGAATAATGCCCATCAGCGGGAATTAAAGGCCGCGGAGGGGTTCACGGCCGAGTTGAATTCGAAAGCCAAACAAAGACTAATCAAAGATCCAAATGGAGAGAGGGTAGACGGCCAGGCGAACAGAGAGGGACGGGAAGAGGTCCTTTCGGAGCGACGCGTTAACAAGGCTTCCCGTTACCAAAGTCTTCTCCGCGAGTTAGTTGGCCCATCGACGAGAACCACGGACAATTGAACGAGCAAACCGTTCCGGGGACGAAGGCGAGACGTCGGCGCGTGTCGTTCGACAAACTCGAACGGGACCGGTTACTCTTCCGCCGACCGGTACCGCGAAGACTCGTTTCCCGCGCGAAATATCTCGGTCGAACGTTCGCTCGAGGAGATTCGAGGATCGGTGCCAGCTGGCCGAGCTGCAGACTTCGCCTCGCGAGTATTCCCGTCGCTCCGGGCCTGTAAAGCTCCGCTCCGATGACTGGTACGAACGTCTTCCTGACGCTGTTGCTCGTTTGCCTGTCGCGGTGTCTGTCGCAGACTCCGGAGAACGATTGCGGCGGCTCCAGTGGCGGCGATGGAGGCGATGGCGACGATTCCACGGCGAGGAACGGGACCGGGCTGATCGAAAGTCCCTCACGGCGAACCAGAGCCCTTGTTTTCCCCCATGACTCGCAGTTATTGGTACGTATAGCCTCACGGATCCCGCCTGACGAGGGTAATCAGCCATCTCTGCGGCCAATCGAGGCTTCAGCCGCGCGTCGCTCAAGTGCTTCGCATCGGCTTCCGCTTTTCTTCCGTCGCTCGGGACGAATTCGTGAGCTCGCGGTATCGGAAAACTGGGGATCTCGCTCGCTACACGCTTTCGGTCTCGTTTGCGCCAGACCTATCGGGGAATACGTTTCGCGACGCTAGCTTTTAGAATGGCTGTCTTGTAATCGTTTATTTCGATCGTTTCCTTTCCGCTTTCTCCGAGAAGCCGCCGTTTCTCCTTCGATTGTCACTGTCGTTCGCTTGCCCAATCTCCGCGAGTTCATGCTTGTAGAGAAATTTATAATTAAGATTGAATAATAATAGTAATAAGTTCATCGACGGAAGCACTTTACCGAACGTAATGGAACATTATAACAAAAGTGCGAGTAAAAACAAGGCAAACGCAACAATGTCGCGAAATTTAGCTCTAATGGACGAGTCCGCGATAAATTCATTTTACTATTATCTTCATATCGCCAACGACGACCGAGCGTTTTCGCGAACGAACGGAAGAAGCGAGAGAAAAAGGGAGGAACAGGTTACGATCGCGTTGTCACGACGGGACCGGCAGCGGACGATAACGAGCGATCGTCTCCGCCTAAAAACGAGTACCCATTAACGTCGAGCGTCGAGCTGCAAGCGAGCTGGAAGATGAAAAGCGTTGCGCGTCGCCCGGAGCAACCCGGTAAGCACCGGCGGCGAATCCGCGCTCGATTATCATCCGTCCAGTCAATTATTCCGAAAGAGAAACGTTCGGGTCAGGGGTGGTGTCGCGCGAAACCGTCCGGCGTTTACGGTGCGGCCGCTCCTTGAATAATTCCTGGTCGAGCCACATGTCCGAGGCTCATCCAATTTTCCATCCACTGTGTTTGGAAATGGTCGCCGTTCGGATTACAACCGCCGCGGCTTGATAGGATGAACGAGACCGTGACCAGCGGCACCGACGCGCCCCACGGATCTCCAGTCGAATCCGCCGCCCGGACCACCGGATTCCGCTTTGTGCGGTCGAGGAATTCACCGACCGATCCGGGCTCCCTCGGAAACTTGAATTTCTGGTTCGTCAGGATCTTCTTTCGCGCGATTCGCTTCCCAACCGACGGATCCTCCTCGTAATAACACCTATCTAGCAAATTTGCACCGGTATCGCGTTTCCTAGCGTGCTTCTACGAAAACACTTTTTCCTCTCGTCGCACAGTGCGGCTGGACAGCCGCCTTCTGGACGAAGCTCGATAAATTAAGTGATACAATAAAACGCTTCGAACAAGGGTAGTAAAGTACAGAGGTAAACATATGGTTATATTTTTGTTACATCACGTGGATATTATGAAGGTTTTCAACAATGGATATTTCGTGTTACTCCAACGTTGTATAGAGACACGAATTTATTTGCATAGAGTTTTGATATTTCAAATGAAAATCACTATGTTTTCTTATCACTAAGTAGCAGATTACTTAGCAACATATTGCTAGTTTTCAATTTTCATTATGTGCATAATCGAATTTTAAGATTCCACAGGCGGCCGGACTGCGTCGTATCCTTCTATTTTCAAACTACTCCTATAAACGGATAAACAGAACACGCGCAGTTCCCTTCCGTTCGCGCGTTTGCGAACGGCGATTCGATGGACCGGTCGAATGCCGAGCAAGGGATAGAACGTCCATCGGCGATCGCGGGAAATCTATTTGGCCGATTAAGATCGCAATCGCGGAGGAACGGGGCGAATGATAATAATCGGTCCCGGAAGATTCGGCCGGCGCGGTTCGATTGGCGTGTTTCGGGGGCCGTATCGCGCGGCTAACGCGACCCACCTGACCTTTTCAGGGCTCATCCAATTTCTGCGCCAGGTGGATACCGCCTCTATCCAGGCCGCGCGCGCACGTGCGCCAGGCCCGGCTGGTGCTGTGCCGGCGCTCTATACATATTCATGCACACGTACACACGGCATCGTGGCCCGGTATGAATTTTCGATAAAACCGCGAATTTCCACGGAGAATCGTTTCGAGCCGCGCGCGCGTCTGGGGAGGACAGTTTAACGAGATTCGCGGAGGGCGAGGTGGAAGGGCGTCAAGCGTTTTTCCATCGAGCGTCGGCCTGCTGCCAATCGAGATCGATACATGCCGAGAACCACCGAGTCCCGGTCCCGTCTACCGCTTCTAATAATCGGGACGGCGATAGCGATAACGATACACCTTTGATCGTAAGTACGAGTGAAGGGAAAGAACGAAGGGAAAGAGCTTTCAGATTAGATTACCGTAGAACTTCGCGCGGTCTTTGATAGACTTCAGGAAAAACGAATTTTATCGGGAGAGCAGGCCTCGGTGTCTTTGGGAAAGAGTGGCGGATTAACGAAGGTGATTATCTTAACGAGTGAAACATTTTCTTATAGAAATTCGTATGTGTATGTGTTGAAATTTTGCTTTGAAGCACTGCACAAAGTAGATTCGGTTGCTTCACACTAGAACTACCAGACGGGACAACATGACCCATTCTTTATTTCCTCAGTTTGCAATTATTTGAAATATAACAGATGTTCAGAGATATTACTAAAATTATTTAAACACGCAAACTGAATTATATGGGTTAATTCAAGTCTCAATGGATGCACTTTTCAAGTTTCTATTGATGAATCTCAAAAAGTCGATTCAATTGCTCGTGGTTTTAGCGTTGACACTAGAACTACAGCAGTCCAATTGAAATTTTCAAATTTTTCTATAAGGACTCTAAGACAGCTATTGAGATTTCAATTACTTATGATTCAATTTGCATGTTACTAAGTCAATTTCTTCAGTAATTCCGCAAAGAAGCATCAACTGCCTTATCAATAATTGTAAAAGAATAATTCATGAACGGGTAATTTTGACCCATTCGGCAGTTCTAGTGTCAATGTTGCGTGATTCTTCTGAAAGAAATAAAAAGATACTGAAGCTTTCGCATCGGTATCTTCGGCTGGTAGAGTAACGTCTCGCGCGTTCCTCGATAATCTACGCGAATCGGGATTCGGTGGATGTATTCCTGCGGTATCGAGAAGATGACGTCCGGAGAGTGATATCTCTGGTTCGGAAAAAGCGTTGCAGGCATCCGTAAACATCACTGGCACGGTTCGCCCGCGGGTTCACGATTCCTCTGGCAAACGCTCGACGGAAATGCGGTCGAGATACCGCGGGCAAGCGGTTTCTCGATTCGCTCGCGGACGACGCGGGGAGGGGAACGCGCTCGGACGCTGTTGGACCTTAACCCGATCCCATCTCGGTTCATCCAATTTCCTCTTTGGACGGTACGCCCCCTATGAATAACCGCCATAACCGCGACTTTTCCGATCGAATCTCGCGACCCCGAACCAGCTCGGTATCCGGAGACGGTCGACCAGCAGCGACGGATTTCACGGAAACGTTTCACAGAAGGGGTTTAAGAGGGACGGACACCTGCAGAAACTGAGATAGGGCTCGGAAATAAACGTTTCCGAGCTTCTTATTATTCGTTCGAACCGTTCGCCCGGCCGAAACCGCTTCGAGATCGATCGTTTCGCCCCGGTAGATCGTTCCCGCGGTTTCGACTTGGATTTTAGCTGCGGAATTCCCCGTATCCGAGGAAAATTACTCCGTAAAAGTTTCACGGTTTCCGTCACGCATGTCGACAGCTGATCTTCGGCCTGGGGACGCCGTTGCAGCTGGACAGGGAGAGCGTGATCGTCGGCTACTTCGCGAAGATCGTGTTCAATATGCCGGCCAACGCTTCGGACTTCACTGAGCCGGGAGTCTACTACTCCCGCGCGCAGAACAGCAGATGGAGCGTCTACAGAATCTTGGAAAAAGCCGCAGGTTTGTACGGGTTCGGCGGGAAGGCTTGTCTGATGAAAGCCATCTGCGAGGCAGCGTCCGTGCCTTTCGACGACAAGCACAGCCTACTGGGACAGCTGCTGCAGGCGCTGTTCAGGTAAGTTTCCCGCGCCCTTGGCGAGTTTTGCGCTCGGAAGGAACGCGGGTCTAATTCATCGCAGTGGGTGGATGCTCGTAAAGTTATAAACGAAATACCAGCGAATAAAACTCGCGGCGAAACCTCTTGCCTCGAGCCCGAGCGCCGACTCTCCGACAACTCGGCGTACACCGCGCGAGAGGAAGATCGGCGGCAGGCCGCGCAGCGGAGCATTGAATCAATGCTCCGATGACATAACGTGTAACGGTGGATTAGGAGTGCGCGGCGCGCGGCTGCACGGGGATTAAACGATGTCCGCGGAACGCAGGATCAATTAACGGGGCCGGGGTGCGAAATAACTTGGCGGGTTTCTCGCGTATTCGCTCGTATTATTGATCCCGCGAACCCCACGGACGCGCTCTCTCGCCCACGTCCCGACCCAGAGCGCCCGCTCCCGAATTCTTTTCCACCCCACCTCTACCCCCGCACGGCCCGATCTCTCTCGCGAGCGATCGATCCTCGATTCTTCGTGATCGGACGCTCGAAACTCGTGAATTCCGTGGAATTCCAGGCCGTCGAGCACCGAGGAGGAGTACGAGGAGTACGGGGACAGGGAGTACCGGGCGGCCGAGCGTTTGGGCGAGCAGGTGTCGGCCGAAAACTGCCACGCCCTTTATCCGGAGTGCCGCAGAAGCCTGCTCGACGTGTTCTCCACGGTGATCTCGTGAACGCCGACAACGAAAACGCGGATCCCGGATGGAACTGGCGCACGCGAGGGCCACGCCTCGAATCATCTTCGTCGGGAGGCCGCCGGAAATACGGATCGTCCACCGAGGTCTTGCCCGTCCGCCCTCGGCCGCATTCGCGATCGCCGGAACCCTCCAGGCTTGTTTTCTTCCCGCGGAACTTGTTACCAGCTGCGTGAACTTTGCGTGTCTGGCCGAGATGCAGGATCACTATTACAGGTTAACACGTTGAATGCTGTGGAGATCACCGACGACACCTAAATCAAATTACTATGGTTCATTAAACGATGATTATTTGAAAACATTTCTATATTATAAATCATGCCAGCTGATGCGGTGACATTTAGCTAAATGAACGTGCAGTAATAATAATTTAATCAAAGGATTTGGTATCTTTTCCATTTTCTGTATTTTGTTCTATGAAATCGCGGCGTTCAACGTTGATTCTTTACGAGGATTTTTTGAAGTATGCAGAACTTCCAGCGGGGAAAGGTAACGTCGAAATTTTAGATGATAATGATGGTGTATCTGTTATCCCTTTTGAAAGTACGAACTCTAAATATTACAGAGAAACGGGATTGTCCGGTTATTGTAATCGGTCATCCGTTCGCAACGTTGTATTCTAGGATTAATTGATTAGGCTTCCGTCAAACGCAATCCGCGCGTAACTTTGACCTTCTCAATTAACATATAATTTGTATAATACTGTAATCGTATGATTGGGAAGGACTTGTAGTAAAGTTGAAATTGTACAGAAATAAAGATAAACCGCGTATTCCAGAGAATCGCGAACGTTCCGACAGGTTGAACCCGGTCGACGCTCGATTGTCTTCAAACGATACCTGAAATCCGTCTTTCCCTCACGGCCCGCCGTTTCTCAAGGTGTCGGCGGTTGCCAAGAAAGAATTTCTTAACTCGGCGCGGGTTCCGCGAGCATTTCACCGCGAGCTGGCCCGGCCCAAGTTTCATTTCCCTAAAAGTACCCGCAGCAATCGCCGAGTTCCGGCCGAGCCGGGCTACGCGGCGCGGCGGTTCTCCTCGGAATCTGAAATTAAAGAATCCACGATATTCGCGGGGCTGGTGCGCTTCAAACGAACCGGCTAGGTTGAGACTACAGTCTCGATTAGAATACCGGATACATCGAAAGCGCGGGTCGGCTCTCCATAAATACGAAAGAAAGCTGCTCCCGCCTCGTTTGAAGGGGAAAAGCGTAGAGGAACGGGAAGAGAAATGCGAGCAACACCGGGCAACTCTTGATCCTGGTGCATTTCGCGCGCGTTAGCGACCGTTGCGCCGCATCACCGCGTTAATTACGCTGGAAATGCAGGCGAACGTTTGTTATAATTAGCAAAGGACGGAACGCGACGCACGGTGTGACGGAACCGTCAAACATTGGGTATTTGACAGAAAAATAATTTGCTTCTGTACTGTTACATTACTTGTCTACGTCTGCTATGTTATTGCAAAACGAATATGTATTTGCAAGGTAAAAGCATATTTCGCCTACAGTTTAGTAAATTTTGTTTAAGATTTTCGAAATTCACGTAAAATTTTTAGTTTTAGATTTTTGTTCGCAGAAAGATGTTATCGTTTACGTTAGAACAGTTTTAAATAGCGACTCTATTAATGCAAGGTATACATAGTGATATTTTTTGTATCTTTCTGTCAAATCATCATTTTTTTACCATTCTCGCATTTCTTTAAATTAAGAATATTGTTCGTACTTGTCTGAGAATGTAAACTTACCTCATGATTCCGAGCAGATTGAAGATTACAAAATTCGAAATTTCATATCCGTCCGCATGCAATCTTGAAATTTTGACGTGTTTTTGCACAAGGGTACCCCTAAAGACGTCTTATACATTGATAAAACGTAGGAATTTTGGAGGTGAAAACTTCTGTGTATACAACTGTGATCTTCCGTTCTATATTTACATTTCTTCTAAGCCAAAATGTTACAAAATGGCGCAGTTATTCGCTAGCTTCGAAACTCCTTGTCGTAAAACATTCATTGTTGTCGGACTCGATTACAAACAACTGAAACACTCCAAGACAATTTTTGTAGATTTATAAATAGAAATATGTTATCGAAAATATAGCGATGCAATCGAGTCCACCAACAACAGGTGTTATTATAGACTATAGACAAAAATCTAAAGAATATTTTCGGTAACGAAAGTTTCGAGACTTTCAAATAAAGCTCACCGAATTATACGAAAAATATAGTTTCAAAATTTTGATGCATGTTCGTTCTACGATAATAGTAGAAGCAGAAAAGTAGTACAACACTACAGAAACATCTATATTTCCCTGAAACACCAAGTGTTTGACGATTTCGTCAAACTGTCCGACGCCTCGCGCGAAGTCTGGGCACGCGACCAGCTTGATCGCGCGCCGTTTCCTCGACGGAACGCTTCGCGCGCATTGAGTTTCATCGATTGCATCGAGGAACGGATGAAATCCGTATCCCAGGAAGTTCCATCGCGCCGGACTCCGGTGAACCGGTTGCAAAACGATAATAGCCGGTGTTATAGTACTTTAAAAAGCATAGTCCATTATCGTGCAGGGTGAGCCAAGTAGCGTAACGCTTAAAAGCTCGAAGGAAAGTGTGTCAGAGGGAGAGAGAAAGAGGACGCGAGAGGGCGAGGTTTGAACGAGAAAGATCGACTTCTGCGCCATGCACGCGTGTATAATATACAAGAGGGAAAAAACACACGAACGAAATGATATCCTCGGCGGAGAGTAACGTTTCCCGCGGTAAACCGGCAGATTTTAACGCCAATTATTTTCTTGCCAACGTATTCTCTCTCGCGACGGTCCCGCTGACCAATTCGGATAGTCGTACCGTGCGTTGCAGCGAACTTTGCACTCGAGTAGTCATAGGGGCGGATACAGTCGTTCCGAGAAATCCAATTGCGAGTTTGGTAACGGCTCCCCCCACTCTTCACCGCGCGACCCGATTAATGTGCGTGAACGCCTCAGCGAATCATACACCAGAACCGAATATTCGCGTGGGAAAGGCGTGTGCCTTTGAATCTGACCACTCAGACGAGAGTGCCAGGTTCCCTGCAACGGACGGTACATCGCAGATTGCGCGCGAACGATCGAGATCCCTGATTCCGCGATAAGAGGCTTTTCTTCTCGGTTTGATCACGAGACGCCGAAACAATGGCAGGGCGCGACCGATCGATGAGTTAATTGAACACTGCTCGACGCCTCTCCTCGCGGAAGAATTCATATTCGAGCCGCGCGACGATACAATAAAAACGTTCGATTATCACCGCGAAGAGTGTTTATCATTCGGCGCGCGAATTCCGCGGAGAGGACACAAATCTCGCTCGGCCACGCATAATTTTCGCGGAGGACTTCCGCGTTGGTATGCGGAATATATCGGCAAACAGAAAAAGGATCGGCCTGTAATCCGACGCCGCGACCCGCCGCGCGTGAAAATACTGAATATTTCGCGAGGCCGCTCGCTTCCGCGGGCGACAGTGCCGTTCCCCTTGCGCCGAGTGAACTTCTTTTTTCCCAGAACTCGGAAGCGTAAATTCACGTCATTCCAAGCTCGTGCGAACCCAATGCGCCCTTAACTCCGCGCGTAACGCGAGACGACTGGAAACAGGATCCTACTGTTCACGAAATACGAAATCGATATGAAACTTACCTGATCCTGAAAGTTGCGGAGCTAAAATTTGTACAGGTATTATTACTGGAAAAAGAGCGATCGAATCGGAAGATCAGCTCACTGAGAGATAAATTCGATTACGGTGGAATCAATTTTGACTGCCGAATTGAGGATATCTCAAGCGATGTTATATTTGACACAAAGGCAATGCTACTGGTTAGTTAAGACTAAACGACGATAATTAACTGTGCGAGAAGAAAGTTTGACACACCTCAAGATGTACTTCTACGGTTAAAGGTTAACTATTTGTATCGCTTTGTGTAACGTTTTCTGAACGAATAAATAAATGGAAAAAGGATCGAGCGAATTAATACGCGAGCAAAGGGAACGAACGAAAATCAGTCAAGCTCCGATCGATTGGTCTACTTTGTTCATTACTATTCCGGTCTGCTGCGAAGCCACGGTAGTGCGAACGACTCCTCGGGACGTGCTCCTTCCACTGTATTTTCGTTCCAGTTTTCCGGAGCAGCGTGCGCGCACACCGCCAGAAAGTAACGACGGAAGAATGAAGTGCAAAGGTCGGGGAAAACGAGCCACCCCTCGCGAAGGGCGCCTGGGATTCTTCGACGTACTGCGAGATATCTGCGGGACGCGCTTTCCACGGAACGCTTTCCGTTTGCTGATGCATTTACTCCAGTTGAACGCGATTCACGGTTCGCGATGAATGCGAGGGAACGCGATTATCCCTTGAGGAAAGTAGCGTGCGACCAGACTCGTCGTGTTCCAGAAAGGGAATAAGAGCTAAGTACCGGTGAATTATCATCGAAATTAGGGACTGATAAATCGATGTAAAGCCGTGGAAAATGTAAACCTCCCGATATGGATCGAAACGATGAACTCCGACGATTGTCTTGGATCATCCGAGGGTTAACCTATCGTTCCCCGCGACATCCCCGAGTTTCTCCGTGTTCCGTGGCCGGATCGAATAAAAGCGAGCCCGTGGTAACCGAAGCGGGAAATCTCGCGAAAACTATTATCCGAGCTGAAATATTCAAGAAATGCAGCGCACCCGGCGCGAGGCGAGCCGGCGAAGCACGCAGGGAGGACGTGCCCTTCGATCGAACAACGAACGGTCCAGCGGAACGACCCTGTAGGCAGTAAGCTATCGTAATTTACGACGAAACCCTGAAGGAACCGTCTTCCGCCGGCTGCAGTGTAATCGGATCACGTCGCAGCACGCTTCTAAAATTCAGGACCTTCGAAATGTCTTTCTCCTGTCTCCTTCCAATTACCGTCCCGGGAGATTTTCAGTTTTTTCGGTCGGTCCTCTTTGCATTCCGCGCGGCTCCGAACTGTCTCCCGAGCCCCGTTTCGACGGTAGCAGCCGCGCAGCTGCACAATTTCGCCGCGATCGGGTCCGCGAGACCTTCGAGATCCATAATTGCAAGATCAGCGATCAGGAGGACGCTTCTAGGGATGAGCAACAGTTTCCTTCCTCGAACGCGTCGGGATAAAATAAACGAGGAACCGATGCTTGAATAAATAACGACACGGGAAACGGGTGAGTAATAATGTATCATAAGGAATGTGAACGATTCCGCGATGCTTATGGTTCCAACAATGTGGCGTGAAACGGAGAATCGATCGTCGGTGCTCGAAGAAGTATCTACATGTATTCAACGTATCGAAAACGCTTTCTCGATTGAACTGCTGACAGTCGTAGTTCGAAGCTTAACGCTGAAACTACCAGACGGGTCAACATGATCGATTCCTGGGATCTTCTTTATGTAATTATTGAAAAGGTAAGAGATGTTGCTCGGAGAAATGATTAACAGTAAAACTACCGAGTAATTAGAGTGACCTATTTTCAATTCTTTATAAAAATTAGGATACGTATCTTGAGATTCAAATGGCCTATCTTGTATCTGTAACAAAATTAGTTTAAAATCTGTCACAAAAACGCCTTCATAATTGAAATACTTAGAAAATAAAAATTCTGAAGCGGGTCAATTTGACTCGTCTGGCAGTGTTAGTGATGAAGAAACGCAAACTGAATTATAAATCAATTCAAGTCTCGATAGAAGCACTCCTGGAGTTTTTATAGAGGAACATGAAAAAGTCAATTTAACTACTCGCTGGGTTTAGTGTTAAATGATTAAGTCCTTTTGCGCAGTTAAAACCCCGATGATTGGGTAGACAAGGTTCCACGGAAGGAGAGCGCACAGTTATCCGCTGGATTTTTCAGAAAAATTGAAATTACACGACAGGACGAGCATTCGGGTGAAAGAAAAATTCAGACCCGTTTCGAAAAAAAGAGAAAGTCTCGAAGCTTGCGTGCCAGCTATCCCCTTTCTCTCGCAGCCGCGTTGTGCTGCCGTTCCCGCCATTGTTCGCCGTGTCCCCTTTATTTTATTTATCGCCAACCCTCCCGATAACGTTCTCGTTAATCTCGCGAAATAATAAAGCTCGGCGACGGAGAGGGAGAAAGAGCGAGATATTCCGCGCGAGGCGAGCCGTCAATTAAATTTGCTTGTCGGAAACTTCTAAACGGAATAACGAAACTCGGACTGGGACCCGACTTATCCCGGGATCCGTTTCGAAGGAAGCAGAAGAAGGAGGAGGAGAAAGATGCGAATCGCAAAGTCAACGAAGAAACTAAAGTAAAATACGAGTCGAAGACCTCTCGGCTCGAGTTTACCGATGCTCTTTGCATCGGGGACGCCAAGAGCTATACCATTTTCGCGTGTACGCGTCGCGCTAGCTCGCGCAAGCCCCAACTCGCTTCATCGAAATTGATTCCCCGCAAAAGGTACACCCCGCGGCAAAATGAAAGGGCAACCCCGGATTTTTCGTATTTCCCGGAGCCGTTGATAGGTACCCACAAAGGTATCGCGCATAGACCTGTATAGAGCGGTCCTTTGTTAGCAATACGAAGAAAGGACCGTAATATTTAGTCCGGTGAAAAGTTTCGAGGGACGACATTAATTCCGGAGAAATGAAGATAACGATAGGTTAGAATGAACTCCATAATTCAATAATACGACGTAAAATGTAAAATATCGCGTATCCATTGTGTATCAAATGGCACTAGTTAAACAAGACTCATCCGTAATCACAATTTCCAAGCAAACATAGATGTCACGAGTGAGATATCGCATATTATTATAGACCGGAGTTTGTCTGGCTGAATGATAGCGCAAGGGATTAACACGTTCACCGCCACGGTCACTGATGACTAAAGTTCCTAAATTGCTTGAAATAATTACCAGAAAGAGAAACTAGTGTCAAATCGATTTAGTTACACGACGAACTAAACAATAGTGCAACTTAACAGTCACGATAGGGAACCATTAATAATGAATTCTAATATCGTTTGCCTTATGGAAGAGTAAGTTGTGAATATTCTCGTGGAAATTGACGCGTTAATAAAACAACAGAATCTTTAGAAACGATCCAACATATCTGTTTCAGTGGGAAATTCGTGTGTCTTATCATTTTGTCGCGGGGTGTAGGTAGCTTCGAATGTCCGAGGAACGAGAGGAAGGTCGGTCGGCCGCTCGCGTTTCCTTGCAAATTTCTGTGAATCCCGAGGAGGCGGAATGAGGAAATGAGGACGGTAAAGGGATACGAATGAAATGGATCGGGGCGCTCGTTATTCGTAGCCAATCGCCGTGATCTACCGAGGATGTCGCCTTTGCCGGGGAAACGCTCGGAATAGCGTTAAGAACAGGGCTCCACCCTCACCCCGACCCTTCAAAGGGGAAGCACATTCTTTGCGCGTGGCGCGTTCGGTAAAAGCGTTAAGAAATAGAGGATCGCGGCGATGAAACGCGAAACTCAAACGCGCCGCAACGAAGTCTGAACGGCGGAGGGCGCGGGGCTGAGAGAACACCCTACCAGCGAGTGTCCTCCGATGAGATTTTAATTCAACTTCGGTCGTTAATCGTGGCACGCTGGAAACGGAATTAATTAAAGCTGCTTAACGGCCCCAGCCCCATGGCAATTATTGGATTTACAACGCTATCGCTGGCGCGGGGTTTAAGCTGACGCGCCGATGAATCGCGCGCGCCGCTTTTCCAAGCAGCCTCCGAACCTTCTGATAACGCGAGCTTTCGTGTCGGTCGACCTTCATGCAGATTTCCCTTCGACACCTTTTCTTCTCTGTTATACGTGATATTAATTATTATTTTACATAACAGGTAAATGGCATTAGACATAATTGTATTACGAATGATTTTATATCACAATACCAGCGTTTCCATATTATCTAGTTACGTTGTTAAGTATTTTTACTCCGCGTTGATCTTTTTATCGCAATTGATCACGAGCGATTCGGAAGCTCCGATCTTCGGTAAACGTTATGTCAACTAAGATGCACTGGGAGAAAGAGAAATTTGAAGGAGTGCCGGTTTTTCTAGGAAATTCGATGATACACGAAATAATTTATGTAGATGCGCGATAAGCCAGCTCCGTATCCCCGTTGAGCCCTGCGATTGGTAAAGGCAGAGCAGAGTCGGATTAACGTAGAGGAGATTTTGAAACAAGTCAGCCGGGAAAATCGGGTCGATTGCACTGCGCGAGGGGAACGCGAGCCAGACTGCGGATGACTATGCTAATACGGGACGGTTTGGCGACTAATTCGAAGGAACTAAAATGAAACGGAAAATGATCGGTTCGACAGAGGATTTTATTAAGTATCGAATAAAATACGAGTTCCGTCGAGCCCGCAGTCGCCCGGCAAAGCGGCTCGGTGCGGCAGGCCAAAGTGCTGTCGCGCAGAGCACGGTAGTTCGGGACGATAATCAACAGCCCCGCGTTTCCGTAATCGGGCTGAAAAAACGCGCGGAAATTATCAAAGGATTCGTTAGCGGACGCTCGGAAATTCCGTAAAAATCGTTCGATCATTCCGGCTCTCGAGAACAGTCGAGGATTTTTCAGCGGCACGTAATTTACGGTTACAAAGGTTTGCGAAGCGCAAACATCGCGCTGGGACGCGAGGTCCAGCGTTCATTATCGCGTCGCCATTAACTCGTGGACACGTGCACCTAGGTAACACCGGCCGACCGGCGCCGGTTCGTTGACCAGTGGCCTCCGAAAACGAGAATCGAACGTTCCTGCGAGACCCGGGGTTAAATACCGCGATTCCCGGAGCGTCCGTGTGCACGCCATGGCCCCATCGTCGCATCTATTGGCTCCGATAGTTTTGCTGTCGCTGATCAGCGTTGGCCAAAGTATCCTGCTGTACGCGCCGAGATCGCTGGTTCAGGTAAGAAGTTCGCGAGACCCGAGTTCCTCTCCTTCGTCGATCGTCCTCCTTCGATCTCCTCGGCGTCCGTCCAAGATAAACGACGATTCGGGACAAACCGAGTTGTAACCTCGGCCCTTATCTCCGTAGACAGCCCGCGAAACTTATTAAGCCCGTTCGCTGGATAACGAGCACTCCTTTGCCGGTCCCCCTCTAATTAGATTGCGCCTCTGTTTGCATTGAATTCATAATGTTCTCCGCCTAAGACGGCCGAACACGGCCAAAGTTGGCGACGAAGGCGATGCAGGAGACGACAGGGATGGGAGATAGAAGCCTGGCCGCTCGTCGATCCATGGCTGTAACGGCAGACCGTGGTACCCGGTGATTTCTTCTTAATAAGGGGTTTTCAGGGAACGTTTGAATAAGCAATCTCGAGAACGAAGGTTAAAGAGGTATTCGCAGCTAGCTCCACGGAACCCGAGCCGGGAACGGCTGCTTTTAAATAAACCAGCCGAAACTCCGTCGAGTAGGCACCCGGGCTAGATGAAAGATTACCTTTTAGCAGTCCCCGGGAAGCGGTTACTCGGTACTTGACAAGACACTATCGGTTACTAAGTATTCGACGAGATGGCCCCGCCTCTCGGCCCCGCCCACGTCCTCCTTTTCATCCTTTTAATTGGATTCTTTCGTGTCGCGGCTCACCCTCGACGCGGCCGTTCCGGCAACCGGCGATCTATCTGGTCGCCGCGCGTCTGCTTTAATCGCAGCTCGCTGTCGCACTGTTTCGACGAACTCGTAGAAAGAAAGATGTCTTCTTATTTTCCGCGGGACGAAATCCGATCTCTTCGAAAACGTAGTCAAGACCAAGTTTTTTTCGTCGTCACTATTTCGTCTCGGATCCAAATAAATATCTCCGGAAGGGCGTGACATTTCCATGGAAAGTACACTTGAAACGCGCTGTAGGGTCTCCGCGGAAAAATCGGAGAAACATTCACCTACTTCGAGAACCGAGCGCAGTTTCTATCACGCAAACACACCGATCCCTTCCACAGCCAAGTTTAACGATCTTGACTTAGTGTACAGTACGGTAGTTTCTGCTTAACATTCTTTCGAGGTACGATTATAGTTTCCTTCTTATTTTCTATCGCGTTCCTATGGAAGGTCTCTCGTTTCTTGTTTATTCGCTGCTTGTTCCCGAGGCCGTCCGTTAAGGGAGAATTGATTCGTAGGAGATCACGGCGAAATGAAAAGTCCATGGTTAAAACGCAAGATATTCGCCGGCTGCGCTTTTAAATACTTCCCTCTCGGACGGGAAGCGGGAAGTTCAGGGCTTAGGTATATCGACGAAGCCGCGGCTCTTCGTAAAACTCTGGCTGTACATATCCTCGCGTCAAACTTTCGCAACGACTTCGGTTCCAACGTCGAAGCCAGCCAGCCAACGAACCGACCAACCATCCAACAGACCACCAGCCAGCCTCGTTCCCCGACAAATTCTTTCGCGCAGCTTGAAAACTTGTTTTGCGAAAACGGATCGTTTCCTTCTGATCCGCGTCTGCTCGTTCCATTTTCCAGTTCACGATAGGCGTCTCAGTTCCGGTATCCATGAACAAAAGGGGCGGCGTGGTGTTCTCCACCGCATTCCAACTAAATTATAAACTTCCAACGAACTTGTCGGAGCTCGAGCCTACAATAATACCGGCCCGCCAGATGAGGGACTTGCGTCTCCAGGACACTTACGAGACCATCGAAAATATGTTCGACCGGTGAGTTTCCGTCGTCCAACGGCCAGTCTTCCTTCCGCTGTTGAATCAGTCGAATTTTCGGCCTCGGCTGCCGGCGAACAATGGCCGATTTGCGAGCAGGAACGGGAAGAATAAGCGGCCGCGTCGAAAATTGCCCGATGAAGCGCGGTAAACACAGCCAGAAACGAACGAATAAACTCGCAATTAACTCGGGAACGGAATTGGTCGTGACCAGGACCGGTAACGCTTAATGAAACCCCATTTTCTAGCTGAGAATCATCCGCGACCGGCTCTCGCCGCATTCGCGTTCAGCGTCGACAGACCGTACAATGAGTCGCTGATTACGCGAAACAAACGGCAGACGAGGCTTTATCGCGCACCCGTAGCTCGCGACTCGCACTCGAAAACACGTTTTACGAATCGATGGTGGGGGGCTGATGCTTTCCGATACTAGCAAGCCTATACGGGGTGTTCGAAGTAGTGCAACAAATATTTTAAGGGTCGATTTTATGAATCGGACTAAAATGGTGTCGAGGTGATCCAGTGTCTGTGCTCTTCTTTTAAACGAGAGGCGACGCTCTAAACATCTGTACTCGCGTCGAACCATTTTCTACAGATCGTAATAGATCAAAGACATCATTTGCAGGTAATACCTTGAAAACGAATCGGAAATCGTTGTTCCGCGACCCTTGAGTCTCGTCTGATTTCGTAAGACGAAATCACCCTTTAAAATATCCAGCTCGCGCGATCAAACACGCGATACACACACCGGAAATTGCGCGGGATACGTAACAAGAATCCGTGATCTCTTTGAAAAGCGTCTCGTTAGCAGGCAGCGTTTCCGAATCTTCCCGAATTCTTAAAACGCGAAAGAGCAATGCCGTATCCTCCACTCGCAAAGCGGAAACAATTCTTGGGTCCCGTGAGCGCTGAGCGCTATGGGGCATTTACCTTCCAAATGCATCGAAACGTCCCTTTTCATATATACCCCATAAAATAAAGTATACACATAATTAAATGAACATTTCGTCCAGAATGTGTCACAATTTGTTTTCATACTTGTTAACACTAGAACTACCAAGCAGTCAAGTTGACTTTTCAAAATTGTTCTATAGAAACCCCAAGAGTGCATCTACCGCGATTTCCATCACTCCAAACTTTTGCATATTGCTAAAACAATTTCTTTCGAAATTTCTTAGAATAGGATCTATTGTTTTTTCAATAATTACAAAAGAAGAATTTAGAAGGTCATTTTGACCGATCTAGTAGTTCTAGTGTACATTAGTAACGCGGCTATAAAGAAGGCAACCTCGAAAAGATGAAAAACTAAAATGATCAATTGCAACCTTAGTGGTTGTACAATTGAAATAATCTCAAGTAGGATCAAGTGTACTTGCTATTATCTGCAACTGTAATTGGTGCAGCGACTTTTATTTATACCAAATAGAATTTCCAATAATTGCCATTATTGTGGATAGTAGAAGTCAATCTTTATTCTATATTAACCCTTAACGGAGTAATTCCGCCATATAAGCGGCATGGCACTTTTACTTACTAGCTCCAATAAAAAAAATCATTTTATTAGTTTTATCACTGTTATTGTAATATTTACAATTAACAAGTATCGTGTTATATCAGTTCTGTGAATTTGCTTCTGCTTGTTATGTATATCACAGTACTTTTCTGCAATAAATAAACTTGAAATACTTCTAGTCCGTCAATGGTTAAAGAATAGGCTTATCTCTTTCCAGTGATACCGAAAACAACACAGAATTCTACTAAGTCGTAAAATGGAAGATTCCATAGCGAAGCGAAGATTGCGTAACGCAAGCAGTGTCACATAAAATTCCTGCAGCTACTACAATTATGAACAGTATCACTCGATTTTTCTTCCATATTAAAGAATAAGCTCCGCTCCTCCGAATGGTACCAAAAACGACACGAAATTCTCCTAAACCAGCCTCATACCCACGATTTCGTCTGGAAAATGTTTTTCACCGCGTTCGGGAGGCAAACGCCCCATAGTGCGGCGCTCGGCCGAATCGCTACGAGATGCCCCAAAATGCAATTGCTCCGCGAGCCAACAAAAGGCGCTCTCCGGGCCGAGATTGAGCGAGCATCACGAACCCGGAGATCAAAGAGCGAGGCGCGGACGAGAACTCGAACGTAAATTAATTGGGGCGTAAGGAAATTACTCCGAGCGTCGCGGGCGCCGGGGATACGGGAAGACGCAAAGTGTAGGTAACAAGGGAACGAGTGCTCCGTGAAAGTTGGGAAAGTGTCAGGGCTGATTCGGGACAGGCGACACGGACGGGCGAAAAATGGATCGTTAGCCGGGTTCGGCGGCGACAAGCGAGCCGCGTACCGAGTTTCGCGGTGATTTTTCCACGGCACCGGAGCGCGAGGTCGGACGATGAATTTCTTAACGAGAGCGGGGCGACTTAGCACCTTTAACGACTCTCTTTCAACGGTTTTTTTCGAAAACCGGTATCCTTTCAAGCCGCAACGCGAACAGTTTACCGATATGCTCGTCTAATGAAATTTGGCTCTATTTTAATACAGTTGTAACACACTAATGGATTATGCAAAGCTTAGCGTATAAAAGACGTTATAATTTCGCTATATATTATAGTATCTAGTGGCAAATGAAAGCCAGTCAAAGCGCGAGTGGTTAACACGTTGCCGCACGATTTTAAGGCGCAGAATATGCGAAATGAGAACAATACAATATTAAATTATCTAATTGAATTGCGTTGTTACTCTTGCAGGTTTGTTCCGCTGAATGTCACCGCATTAGCGTTATTTACGATATAGGAATGTTTTCAAATGACCATCGTTCACTTGAGGAAATAATTGAATTTGGGGGGTCACCGGTGATCCCCATGGTATTCAGCGCGTTAATGTATTGTACAAGCAAAGCTCCTCCTCGAAAGGGGACTTGCGTATAATTAACGAATGACATCCGCGACGTCAAAGCTACGATAACGGTGTATCAGTGCAGCGTAACTGAAGTTATACCCTTGCGTTCGAGATACGAATGAACGGGAAAGAGGGAAGCGTCCTAGTGGGAAATGAAAATTGAAAGGTTCGGTGTGCGCAGGCATGGCTGGCGGGACGGCAAGAACTGTCTTTTAAGGACCATTTGCGAGCTCGCGGAGACACCGTTTGGCAGGACACGAGGGCAGGACGTTCTCGAGGAGGTGATCCACTTAATTTTAACGTAAGTTCGTTGCGAGAAATCGCGGTGCCAGTACAACGTGGTGGGCCGGGTCGGGCCGCGGCGGGACGCGCGCGCGCGCGCACGCTCTTTCCGAAACGAAATTCATTTCTCGAGGAGCTCCCGGTTAATGAATTCCGTTGGAAGTCCTTAATGGCTGTCCTGCTCCCCCGCGATAAAGTGGGACACCGTTGTCGTGCCGCCCGTCGAGGCGCGAGCACCGACTAGACTCGGGGAATTTAGTAAATCGACGCAGCGCGCGGCGCCAGCGCGGGAAGAGCCCCGTCCGAGAGCACGCCCGAGAGGAGAGGACCGGAGATCGTCGTTAGGGACACCTGCGTGGGCGTCCAGCTCGCGCGAACGTAACAACGTTATTTTCCGCGCACGGTTAATTTGTTCCCGTGACTCCCGTTCCGGGAGCTGGCTACCGATACGCTTCGATTCGTCGCTTTTACTTCACGTGAAATGTTTCGGACCTGATTAAAGCGTAATGCTCCCGCTGTCGCTTAGCCGTGTTCCATGGCGAGCGGCGTTCCGCTGGGTGAAATTTGTAGGAAAAGATAAATCAAATTTCGCCTCGCTCTGGCGCGTTTGTCGCGTTGCCTCGACCCGATTCGATCAATTCCTCGTTTTTTCTGCGCCTGTTTCGTTTGTTTGACTTCGAGTTAATGGTGCATTCGTTTAAGAATATTATTGAACGGTTATAACTAATTTACGGGTTTCTATGTCGAAAATTCGGTCGAAAAGTGCCACGCGATTGCGATTCTTTAGATTGAATTTAGAAACTGAATGACAACTTTCAAGCTGGTAATGACAGAAATGAATATAAATAATTAGAAGGGAAATAGGTAAATAAATTTGGTTTGATTCTACGAACCGATAGGCTGACACTTTTAAGCATTGTCACGGTTAGACAAGACTTCAAATATATAAAGGAATTAACAAACATGGGCAGGATTAAATTTTCATATAAAAGACTACTGACATTTTAAGATTAAAGTATTCTTGTCAATTGAATTTCCTATCCTCGTAACGTAGAGGTACATCTCCGGTGCATCGCGCAAGTACATACTTCAACACTATTTCTACCAGTGTCAAGAGACACCTTTTGAAATTTTAACTTTAAATTATTTTCCATGTTTAATCGCATATTCTGAATTCACCTTCCGACGTTTGCTGATTCTAAAACTAACTATACGAAATGTCCAAAATTCAATCGAGGAAAAATGATGAAACTGAAAGAACAACTATGCGCTAAGTTCAATATTCAAAATCTTTTGACACGTTCGGTAGAAATAGTGTTAACGCGAGGAGCGAACAACGCGGCAGAGACGTCAGTTCGCTTCTAGGGGTTAGAGCATCAAGAATTAGACGCGACGGGAACGAAGAATCTAATTAGGGGACGATCGGTGGGAACCGGTTGCAGACGCGGAGCCTTTCGTCGGACGATCGGGACCCTGGCGATGAGAAAATCCGAGCACGTATTTGCTATGCGAAACGCGGCCGCGTGTACTCGAAAGGAAATTGCAACCGAGCCAGCGCAGCGGCGGCGGTGGCGGCGTTCTAATTGCGATGAAGTTAGGCGCTTGCATTAAGCGTCTAATGGAAGGTGTTTCGCGTAGGTTTTCGCTTTGCCGTGTCCCGTACTGTGTACACGCGTCACCGTGGAATTTCTACCGACGTAATCACGGCGAAACATCCGCGGAACAATCGGCGTCTGGCTTATATCCACCGAACGTCAATAGTACCGCTAACATTCACTGTTCGCAGTTCGCGGCTTGTCGATTCTTTTCCGCATGACCTCTCGCTCGAGTCTCGACGTTCGACGGGCGATTAACGATTGATCCGAAATCGTTTGGATTGCTCCTTTAATTGAGTCAATTTGTTTAGAACCTGGCACCAGTTTCAATCGAAATTAGCTTAACGATCGCTATCAAACCGAACAATCTAATATTCTCGCTCATGGGAAACGATTAACGTTGCGCATCCGTTGAACAGATAGTCCGAGGGACCTCCCTCTGGAATCACCGTTACCCATTTCCTTTATCTATAGTTTGCTGACGAATTATTCGAAACGATTCGATCCGATTCAACGCCGCACCGCTCACAGGGTCACCGATAACGCACTCCCGATTTAATGAACCGTTCGCGGGAACGTGCTCAGACAGAAACTGATCTCGCTTTCTTTTTCTCAATTAGACCCACCGAGGACTTGCCAGGGACAGCTAATTCCACTCACCGCAGCGTCGACGAATTGTATCGGGAAGCGGAACGATTGGGAGGATCTGGCGGTGACTGCGTCCTGGCCTATCCAGATTGCATCGAGTCACCTTTGGAATCATTCACGAAGATCGCATTCCCTTAGGGGATCCGGGATTTAAACGTCTGCCCTCCCGATCACGGGTCGACTTCTCTCCTCGGGGGAAAGGTGGAGACGGGTGTCGTTTATTTGTCCGACGCCTGCGAAATCTACTTGAATCGCGCCATTCAATTTCCACGCGAACCTGTACCGCGACAATTCGAAATAAAACAGCGTCCCCCTGAAAACCTCGTTAATTATTCAACACCCCTGATCGCGGCGAGCGATAATCGCGATGAAATGTTTATACGCGTTCAAAGTTTCTCGCGCTTTCGGACACAATCGGCACAACCGAAGAACGGTCGATAACATTTCGCTCGATATCCAATTCGATTGATCCATAAGAGTCGCTGGCTCTTGTGATTCCTTTCTGATACGGCGTGACCATAAGTCCCGTTCGATTCTAACCAGGTAAACGAGCCACAGCGTCCACAAAAGCGCAGCGAGACACGGGAGAAGTCCTAAGTAAATTTCGTTGTCGGGGCGCGCCGTAAAATGGCCGGAAATGCGACATAAGCTGGCCGTTCTTTTTTCCGGGCAGCCAGCCTCGCGCACTCCTCCCTCGCTCTCTCGATGAACACGTTCTCCCCGTTCACGCGGCCGTTTGTCACGATTTTCAATCGGGTTTACCGTCTCCGCTTCTCTCGCTTCCGCTTCGATCCGTTCCTCTTCCTCTCCCGCCGCTACCCGGACTCTTGGATATATAATATGCATGTCGCTTCGCGATCGAGAATCCTCGAAACTTCGGTGCGCGTTTCGGCCGAGACTTTCACGGCTAACAAGACGCGACAACTTCTGGAATTCCGTGATCCTACCTGAAAAAGTCTGCCGCGTTGCCGATGAAAAATCTTCGATTCTACTCTGCTTAGCTGTTTGCCGATCCTCGGCCCGCGGGACGCTTTAAATGGGATTCTTTTTAAGAGAAGCGAAAACCGACGTCGTAACTTCTATCCCCGTAATCGTCCACTTTGCGAGCGCGTGCATCTTCCGACTTCTGCTCCACCCGACTCTGTTTGTACGCGCGATTCACTCCCTTTGTCACTGCGACAGCGAAGGCCGGCAAGTTTCTAGCCGCGATCCTCGCGTTCTCCCGGCAGTTGGCCCCTGCGCCGTTACTTATTTCGAAGTTCCCGCGTTCTCGGTCGCCGGGGATAGTTGGTCGGTCGCTCGACAACTTGCGTTCCCTTGATTACGCGACTGCCTTTGACGAACGTTCGTTGTTGGGCCTTAAAGTTAAATGTTCACGGAGGTGTACATGGGGAAAGCCAGGCGAAAATTGCAATGAATTTTAGTGTATATAGGAAATAAAGCGAAAAAAAGATATAACATTTATAACGAAGAAATGTAACGTAAGGAAATAGTTGGTACGACAGTAATTTTAAAAGCTTCCGCTTTACTTTCGTTTTTCGTCATCGAAGCAAACCCGAAGCACGATCAGGCGACGACTTAGTTTTCAACAAATTACTTACGTAGTAATTTCTAGATTCTATATGTACAGAAGGCAGCGAACTTGTAAACCTTGTTAGTTCAGTGTAGATCAATTCGGAGCCGAATCTTTCTTGATCTTAGCTCCGTTCTAGCTAAGCTTCAGTTGTAGCCGCAGCTTAAACCAGAGTCTCTTACAGTCCATGTAACTAACACTGTGAAATTGAATAAACAACTCAGAACCAGCAGCTCTAATATTTTTCAACCTCCCAAGTTGACCGAACAACTACGATCAGTTAAATCGCGAATAGAACACGGTTCCCAACGCTCGTGACGCGGAAAGGTCGACGCTCGACCGATAAAAACGTTGCGTTCTTTCCTCGTTAGCGCCGCGGACCGGTGACCGTTGGTCGCGGAAACCGCAGCTTGCTTTGTAAATTCGAAAGATCAACCTGCAAGGCGAACAGCTCGAAACGGTGTTCCCGGTTGAAGCCGTTCGCGGTGGAAAATTAGCTCGTTTAGCTCCCTACAGTCGGCCGCAGAGGCCTCGGCGTGTAGCTATGCCACGAGTTGACGGATGGCACGTTAATTTCGCCGAGGAACTGCAAGTTTTGGCAGCCGAGTTGCTCGACAGACACCAAGCCCCGAGTTTCCCGGTAGCTGCGGAACCCTTTGTACCCCGAGGAACGAGCGTACCTCTGGTATCTTGATTTCGACCGAGTCGTCTTTCAGCTGAAAAGGTAAGCAGCGCGGCGCTTGCGGTCCTCCTCTCGCGTGACCATAAATGATCAACATCGAACGGACATGTTTGTACAGATGAACGTGGAACGGACAATGATTCTGTTGCTTTGCTTCCAAATGGCCTGGATTCGGGGTAGCAGCAGCGAGCAACCCCGTGAGAAGAGACAACTGTATCCTCCGCCACTTGTTTACCCGTTAGGCGGCACGTTCAAGGTATTTATTCGCGTTTCGCTGGAGATCAGCGATCGGCCTCGTTATTCCAAGCCAATATCACTCACCACTCCTACGGTCAAAGCAATTTTCTTAGGAAAACAGAAGCCGAGAAGCCACGATTTTTCGAATCGATCGCTCGCTTGGAACGTTCCACGAGAATTTTGAGCGTTGTATACGATATTACTTGTCCTTTCATAACGACAAATGTTATTTGAGATCGGTGCCAGCGTAAAATATGCGAGTTCCCTTGTGCTTTCGATTCACTTTTATATTAAGATACGTTTGAAACGCAACGAAGATCGCGTTAGCACTTTCCTGGCCACGATTAGCTGATTAACAGCGAATGGGTTCTTCTTGCACCTCGTAAATCCAATGAAACTCGATTGATACGGGCGACGCGATGGTCTAAGTGTAAAGGACTAATTAATTCGATGTTTTCGAAAATCTCTTGTGAAAACGCTCCTTTCGCCGCTCCGTTCTCACGAGAAAACCCAGTCGAATGAACTGATTAAAAGGCAGCGGTGCAATTTATCCGACCCATTCGCCATTGGCGCAGCGTTCGCCCTTCATTTTTCCTGGAGGAGGTGCAGGCATAAGCCCGAGTACTCCTCGAGTCGCTATTCGACCACGTTCACCGTTCGAAGTGGATTCGAAGGGAAAAAACCGGGTAAAAACATGGAAGGAACCGTCGGGAGAACGAGCTTCTCTCTCCGTGGTCGGAGTCTGTTTCCCCTTCCGCAATTAACATCTCGAATGTCGGGATCGTCGGGGAGGAATTAATTAGGCGACCGTTAGAACGCGTTACCTAGGGCGGCTCGATCCGCCGGAGTGGACAGAAGGGGATCGGTACCCGGAAACGGAACGCAAACTGAACCGAACTCTCGAGTTCGACGTCGCGACGCGACGACTTAGAACAGGAACGTGTTCTACCTCTGCCAGCGTCTCCGCCTTCCTCCTCCGAGGAAGTAGCGGAAACTTTAAACAGGGAGAAATGTCTTGGTTTCCCATTCTCCGACCGATCCACGGCCGATAATTAACTGGAGTCTTATCTACAGACCCGTCTGAATTTGCTAATTAAATCGAGTAGTTCTTTCTGTAGTTTTCACCCCGGAAAAATGTACCCTGGCGCGGGATTTCTCAATTTTTCTCCGTTTCTCCGGCAACACGAACATCGCGGAATATCACGGTCGATGGGTAATTGAAGCTAACGCGACGAAAAGTTCGCTGAACGAGGAAAGAATGTTTCACGATCGGTTTTGACTGTGTTTAATCCTTCGTCTTATAATATCTTTCTCAACTATGATCGATATAATTACTTTATAATTAATAATTGATTGAAACAGTAAATTCTAGCTGTATTCTATACGTACGTTTACTTCGAAGTATAATAATTTATAACGGAAGAATACTATTCAATTTGAATTCGAAAGAATCGAGTAATATTTATGTTTGTTCGATTCTCTTTGAAATCCTTACCACGAGTCTTACACGATGTTATAGAAGGAATTGAGTAAAATATATAACGCGAATGTAACGCGAGGAGCTAGATAATAATAAGAATCGCGATACCGAGTCGTTAATAATTCATTCACATACCGCTCGCCAAAGCTCGAAATTCTCTTGTCAGTAGTGAACGCGTTAATTCGCAAACATTTGCTCACGTTTGACACCTACCGACGAGTTCTCAGTTCCTCCGGCCCCCGCGTCTAAAATCCCCGGATACGGAAACATGATCGAAACAAAAACCGAAGCAAACATGACGGGAATGAAATCGATTCGAGATATTTTCTCGTGAAAATAACCGAATCGTTGTGAAGCATCCCGCGGAGAGGCGGGAAAGAAACGGGGATAGCGAGATCGAAGCGAGAATTCGACGCGTCCAGGTCAATGCGCAGGCACGAGGCGAGCGGCACCGAGTCGCGGCAATTTGTCGGGATGCAAAGGGGTAGAAAATCGAGGGAACCTGTCTGATCGGCGT